TTGTAGACCACAGGATTCATTCTAGATCACAGAATACACTGTAGACCACAGAATACACTGTAGATCACAGGATTCATTCTAGATCACAGAATACACTGTAGACCACAGGATTCATTCTAGATCACAGGATACACTGTAGATCACAGGATTAATTCTAGATCACAGAATACACTGTAGATCACAAGATTCATTCTAGATCACAGAATACACTGTAGATCACAAGATTCATTCTAGATCACAGAATACACTGTACATGTAGATCACAGAATACACTGTAGATCACAGGGTTGTAGATTGCATTGTACAAAAGTCATTTTTCTCTCATTTTCTCTCATTTAGAAATCAGATATTCTAAATAATAATCGCAAACTCTGCCATGAGGGAGAAGTAAGTTGGCGCTCGGCACGGGGGAAATATACTGAAGTCATAGCGATACTACTTAGTGATGTACTTATGTTTTTTCAAGAAAATAATCAGAAATATACATTTTCAAACTTGGATCAGAAGGTGAGTATTGTTTTGTTCACAAGCCACCACCGATAGTTTAAATGAATGAGAAAAAAATGTAAAAGCAAGCATTGTTTTAAACCAAAACAAAGTTAAACTAGACTAATGGAAAATTTGTTGATGTTATAAATTGTATCATTTTGTAAAAGGTTGATAGAATTCACTTAATTCCCATTGATTCATGAATGTATGTATGTGGATAGATTCAGTGGAATAAATCTCTTCTTCTTGAAAAACTAATATTAAACAATTTTTAGCCAAATTTGATTTTGCTGCCAAAACCCATTTTGGGTCAATTTTATTACAGAGAGCTGGAAAATTAACTACATGTACAAGCCTAAATGCATTATATATTATAATAATATTTGACTTGTTACAAGTATCAAAGAAATTTACATAATTAATCAAATTTTCTGAAGTTATTCCTAAAAACGTGTTTAAAAAATTGTTTTTTTGGTGTGCAAATTATTAAAATGGTATTTTTCTCCTAGTGTGCGGTGGTTCCATTACACAAATTAATGGTACGTAATGTGGCAACAGATAAGCAGAGTATTTATCTTATAAGTCCACATAAATATGGTCCTGAAATGTATGAAATTCAGTGTTCATCTACAGAAGTCAGAGACAAATGGAGAAGACATATTGAAGACGCTGTTAAACACTGCCCAGATGAAGATGAAGGTAACTCCAGTACTCATCACTATCATACTGTGTCGTTTGGAGCAAAAGTCAACATCATTTTCGTTGATGTTTTTGTTCTCCTTCTTCTAATTTTTGTTTTCTGTTGTAGTTATTTAGCAATTTAAGGTTGTAGAATTTTTACACATTATAAGTATTTATAAAATTATACTGTCAATTTAAAATCAGTGACTGCTTTTACAACAAACTAAGTAAAAACTTTTTAGAAACAATTTGTTGACAAATTAAAAAGTACTTTGTTTTGTGTAGTGACTACATTACTTACTAGATAATAATTGCGTTCGCACACAGCTTCTTAGCATGGGCTAACAGGTCAAATTCCCTAGCTCGTGCTAAGAAAACGTGTGTGAACATTTAGCACGGGCTAAGGAATGCTACTTCCAGGTAAAATCCGATTTTAAGACGCGCTCCAGACCCTTTGCACGGGCTAACGAAATGTGCGCGAACGCTTAGCCCAGGGCTAAATGCCCTCTGTGGCTACCTTTGGGTGTGAATATTATACACATGATCAAATATGTGCAACATTCTCATTTCCAAATAGCCTTCGAGCTCAGACATAACAAAGATGAATGATTTGAAGAAAAAAATGTTCAAATCCAAGACACGAAAATTAATTAGTTAAACAAATCTGAAGTTTTAGAGGAATGTTGCTTTGTCCCATGTTCGTATAACGACTCTATAGATAACTTTCCCGGATGTAACAAGACTGGGGTACAAAAATACTCCTGCTTTGTCAGGCTGAAAAAACATGTCAGTTTGCTGATAGTCGATAGAAGGGAATTTTAGTTTTGTGACGTTGATTGGTACACTCAGAAGCACAATATCATGTGTGCAAATTTACGTTACACCACAAACCGACATGTGCGCGCATATGAAACACTGTATCTCCGAATTTCAGGAAAGTCGTCTATTCCATCAGTCATTACTCCGCACACCCTTCCACACTGATCGAATCGCTGTAGTAGAGCGTACAGCATCTCCAATTGTAGACAAAATAAATTTGTTTCGCTGTCTACGACATGCATTAATAAAACTCTGCATTCTGTTATGCCCGTTGTATACTGTTTCTGTACATACATCCAAATAATTTGGGTCCATCTTCCCTCGCATGTGCACGTCACTTCAAAATTAAAACAAAACATGTCAGCAGCAGACATTTTGGTCACCGACTGATGTCACCCCTTAGCCCGTGGTAAGAACTGGCCCTCCCAGTGCGTAGACGCAATTGGGTCTAGCCGAAATGCAAACATGGGAGATAAGCCTAAATCAGCTTAAATCTTAGCCCGTACTTTGTGTAGCGTGAACACAACTAATATATTGTTAACATAAACAGTATTGTATGAAGCAGCTCAGAGTTTTATTTTCAAAACAAGGTGATAACATGACATTAAATTTATT